GCCGTGCCGTGGCCTCGCGGGGCTCGGGAGCGGGACGTGCCGCCCCTCGGACGGGGGGCTCGCCGGGGAACCCCCGCGGACCCGGACCTGGGGCGGGCTGCGGCCGGGGCCGGGGCGGTGCCGCTCCGTGCCGACGCCCCCCGACGCCCGGGGCGGGGCAGCGGGGGCGGCCGGTCCCCCGCCCGTACCCACGGTGATGGCCGGGCAGCGGCAGGACCGGGCGAGGGAGGCGGCGCTTCCTGCCGCCCTCACCGGGGAGGAAACCAGCCCTCCCGCGGTAGCGTGCCGGTACCGGGAGGGGTCCTGGCTCCTCGGCGAGCGACATCGGTCCCCTCATCCCAGCCTGGGTGAGGCCGGTTCAGAGCAGCGCCGGGAGAAGGTCCATCAGGTTAAAATAGAGAAGAAGTGAGTTTCTCCTGGTCACAGAGCATCTGCTCTCTGGCACCCTCATCCCCTGGAGTCTGGGGATGAGTGCTAGGGCAGGGCCGCTGCATCCCGCGCCCTTCGCAGCTCCTCTGCGTCTTTTTGGCCCTGTCTGTAGCAGCCTTCCCTTCCTTGTCTTCTCTTGCTTTCCTTCCCTTCCCTTTCCTCTGTGCTGCTTCCATTGCCCTGGCCGCCCTTTGCGTTTAGGCGGTCCCAGTGCCAGCACTGGTAGAGGCTCTGTGGCACCGGTTGAGGACACCGGCTGCATTGCTGTTACCTGGGTCTGGAGGCGCATTCCAGGTGTCAGAGCCCAGGCTCCGGCGGGGTTTGGCCTTCAGAGCTGCCCTTGGGACCTCTGGGCTCTGGAGCACCAGTCTGGCTCCCAGGTATAGGAGGCTGCACTCTGCTTTTGGGGTTTTGGATGCTGTGCACCTTGTCAGAGACATTTTTGAATATTATCATTCCTTAATAGCTCTTTTTCAGTCCTTAAAAATTTGTGGGCTTTGGTAGGGGCAGCCTGGTTGTTGCAGACAAGCCGGGGTTTAGTGACACCAGTTGTCCAGCAGCTGGGACCAATTATTGCAGCGCTGCCCAGTGTACAGCAAACTTTTATTTTTTTCTGAAATAGGAATGGATTTTTTCTTTTTTATTTCCAATTCGTCGTGCCAAGGATCTATAATTACGTGTGGTGTTACTGTGTCTTTAAATCAGCTTAAGCAAATGCGTGTAGGCAAAGCCTGGCTCAGCTCTGCAGCGGCCGGGGCGGCTGTGCCGGCAGCGGGGACCAAACCCGGCTCGGGGCTGCCCTTGCCGGGCACCGCTCTGCCCAGACAGCCCCAGAGGTGGCCTGGCCCATCCTTGCTGCATTTTGTGCCACTCTTGTCACACCTGGTCCATTCTCCTACAGTTTCTGACCTCTGCATGAGTGATAATATAACGCAAGATAGTCTGTTCTCTTTTTTTTTAGTTTGCTTGTTTAAATTTTTCTCTCATTGCATATTGTGCCCACTGTAAGTCCTGTGATAGGGCCATCATAGGTTTTTTGATTTAATTTTTGATTTAATTTTTAATTTTTTCCCATCATTTTACTCCACCAGCTTTTCCAAAGTGGTGCTCAGAGCCGAGGTGCTGGTGGCATCAGTGCTAGCTCTGGCCCTCTGCGCCTCCGATGGACACCAGACCATCCCATATCAAAACACACAGAATTCCTTGCCTGCGTTACTAATGGCAACGAAGAATTGCCAAAGTGAACAAACTATGACAAGGGAAGGAGACCTGCCTGTCTCTGCAGACCGTTCCCTTCTGGCCCAGCTGACCCCCTGGGAAGAGCTGCAGGGCACTTTGCACCTCATTCTGCTGCTCCCGCTCCTGTCAAAGCGGCCAGCTGTGCTCTGAGCGCTGAATCCCACCCGAGTTTCCCGCAGCTGACCTCGTTTTATATTTTGTAGCCATCCAAGGGATAAAACCCCCTTCCTTACAGGTTTTGCTGCTCTGGGAATGAATGTTTCAAAGGTGTCTCCCGCGGGTGTGTTTCCAGGGTCAAAGTGCATCGCTCCCGGCCTTCCGCAGTGTCCCCTGGCCACAGGAGCCACATGGTGCTGTGGGAGGGCAGCCAGAGCATCCTCCCCATCTCCTGCTGCCGAGAGATGTGGTAGCCTTTCTCTGTTCCACACCGTAGGGCTGAGAAGTCCTTTTGCTTCCTGTGTGCCCCTGGCCCACTCAATGCCAGCATAGACAGAGGCACCACTGACTGGGCAGCATTTACTGTGTCCATAAAGGCTCTGTAGCAGCTGAGCTGCACCAAGTGACCCACACTGGGATTCCTGGAGTCAGCTCATGCTGTGGCTGCCACTCAGGCAGGGAGAAAGGCAAAGCTGATGTTCTCCCTGGATGAACTCGTGCCATTGTCTGAGCTCCCGTTGCCAGCAGTGGAGCACGTTGCTGCCTGTTGGGTCTTTGCTTGGTGCTCTCCCATCTGTGTTGGGGGTGATGTGCCTGCCCAGAGCAGGCAGAGGGAATCCTTGTGCTGGGGGAGCTGCTGGTCTGTCAGCTCCCACCTGCCTAGGCAGGGTGCAGCGGGACACCGTCCGTCTCTTGGTGTGTAGCTCATGTGCTGAGGCTGGCATGGCGGAGAGGAAGGGTAAGCGCCTTGAAATCCAAGCGGTTTTAGTACTTGGAAATGCACAGAGAGGAAAATACATGGAAAGCCTTTTGTGGGGGGTCAAGGCAGCATGGCCCTACAAAGGGATGTGTTTGCACTGTGGAGAAGTGACTGACACGGGCTGTCTCTGGGAGGAGCAGGGAAAAGCCTCCTTCCCGCACTGGTAGGCCTGGCTCCACTACAGGTACCATAAGGTGGATGCTGGAGGAGGTCATGGCTCTGGGTAATCTGATCAAAGTGAGTTAGACCAGGTGGCAACATAGTTGTGACATCTGTGAGGGCAAACACCAACAGCACGAAACTCCCAATGAGAAGCAAACCCTTGGCTATCCGTGACTGGCAGTTTGGTGCCAGCCTGAGAAGTTGCTTTATGTGTTTGCCAATGCAAGCGCTTGAGGAACTGAGGTCGGGGACCTGATCGGGCCAAGGGATTGCTGTCACTGGGAGAAGAGGGTGGCTTGCAGCGGGATGCCTTCAGAATCTACTTTGCAGCCCCTTTGCTGCACTAACGCTGGGGTGGGAGGTGTGACTGTGAGGAGCTGTGGGAAACAATTAGGCAGCCTCCCTTCAGGCAGCTCAAGTTGGGATCCCCAAGAGCCAGGGAACAGACAGGGTTTAACAGGGGTCAGTATGGAGATGGCATGGGCTTAATTCTTGTCAGCAGTGGGAGCTGGTAGGTGAATGCTGGGGGAGCCTGTCATGGAACCTTTGCTCAACCTGCCCTGAAATGATGGTTGTCTTGGCGCTGTTGGGTTTTCATTGCAAGGAGGACTTGTCAATAGATAATGTTTAAAAAATGTCCATTCCTGAAGAACTTAATCTCTGGAAACTTGTTTCCATCACTGTACAGCAATATTTCAGAAGAGTAATTTCTTGATTTAATCCAAGGCAGCTTCCATGGGTAGCCAAGTCATCACTAACCTGAGTAAAAGCACACTTTCACTGCAAAGGAAATATCTGCTTTGCTTTTCCTAGAGCCTGGAAGAGGCAGGTTTGCAGAGTAGCATCATTTCCTTTTGCGAAATGATGAGATGTATTGCCTTAATGAACAAAATCCCCTTTTAATTCGCCATAGTAGTTTCATTGCAAACCTCTCAGAGGTTTGCCGTTGGAGGCGAGCGTGTTCAGCACCTTCCTTGCTCGTAGTTCTTGGGGCACACTTTGTTTCGGAGGTGAAGGAGCTTTGATACCGTATGAGCTTCCCCACACAGAATGCCTCAATGTTCTTACTTCATTCTAAACTCGTTTTCTTTGGCGTTAATTAGAATTGGCTGAGCACCTATTTAGCTAAATCAAAATAAGACTGTGGTTTCGTATACACTTCCTTTGGCAGACGCTGTGGATTAAGTAGAGTCTGTGCCAGGCTCTGCCCTCTCTCCCTCTTGGTGAAGCTGATCTAGGAGCTGGTATGGGTTAAAACCAGTCCAGCCAGGAAAAAGAAAAAAAAAAGAAAAAAAGTGTTTTAAACAGAGATCAACTCCCTGGTCAGGTTTACAGGGATACTGCAGGGCTTCAGTGACATGACTGAAGGGGTGAGGGGAGAGAAGGGCTTCAACAGTTTCTCAACAGCTTCTTCTGCTTGAAGACAGGCATGTGAAGCCATGCCCTAGTTGTGTTCTCCAAGGGTTTCCTATGAGTTTAATTACATCCCTTTAATGTTGCTTCCAACTGCACCAGTGTAGATGGGAGATCTGCTCGCTTTCCTTGTGCCGACTCGGCTAAGAGTGTCCTGACCCAGGTAGGCTGCAGTTGCTCTTTGTGGTTCAGTGTTGCATCGGGAGGCTGCTCATCCCTGCATTTCCCAATAAACTTCCTGGTCTGCCTTTTTAAGAATGCTGTTGCTCCACTGGTTTGTGTTTGAACCCATGTCTGGTGCTTGGCCCCTGTTTTATTCCTTCTCTGAGTTCATATCTGGATTATTTTTCTTTTCTGTTCTTCATTCCCTGTGAAATGCCTGTCTTTGGCATGTGTCCCACATCGTCTGTAGAGGATAGAGGCCAGGAATCCACGAAACAGTGTCGATCTCTGTCACTGTGTCCTCCCAGCTCTCCTCCTGTGGCTGTCGTTCTGGCCCTTTTGACCAGCTCTTACTTGAGCACTCCAAACGTGCTGTTTCTTCCAGCTCCTCATAGCACCCCGTTATCACTCCTCCCTTGCCAGCCTATTCCGGGGTCACATCTGATCTCTGCTTGTCCCCAGCTCCACGTCGTGCAGCTGCACGCATCCCCTTGTCCCGCTGCAGAGAAGGTCCCTTTTGATTCCTCCTGGAACATCTGTCCTGCTGCTGTGCTTGGGGGCAGAACGTTCCTCCTCCCCTCCTTGCAGTTTAGCCTAAGATGGTGAAATCCCCGCAGATTGTTTGTTCCCCTATTTCCTTTATGTTGCATTTCTCTCCAAGCATCGAAAGACTCCTCCCCTTCCTGCTCCAAGCCACCTCGGTCTCTTTGGGTATGACCCTGCTCTCTGCCTTGGCGTCTGCCCGTCTCCCCGTCTCCCCCATCGCTACTGAGGATTTCTCCCGTCTCACAGTGTGTGTTTTTAGCAGGTTTCCCCTCTTCCCCAGACCTCTGATTTCCGTACACTGTTTGCGCACTTGTGCCCTCGTACGTGCAGATGGGTCCGTCGGTTTCTCTTTGGCACACCAGCTGCCTTGCCCCCATTTCTGCTGTGTGCCCGGCCCCTCTTTCCTCCTCGGAGGATCCCCACCAGCACGTTCAGGCTGCAGCGAGGACACCCGGCAGCACTCGGGGAGCTGCTCAGCCCTGCCCGTCCCTTGAGCTGCTGGCCGGCAGGTCCCTGCGTGGATCCTTTCATGGCACGAGCTGCTGCTTGTCCCGTGCAGAGCTGGTGTCGCCGGGAGTTTGTCAGGCAAAAGACAACCGGCAGAGATTGGGGATCACGTGCTGCTTCCAGCTAATTCCCACTCCAACCGCTGCACTGAGAGCATTGCCGTGGTTCTGTGCCTGCTTTACCTTCAGGGTTTAGTAATTCCCTGAGCCTCCTTGACAGCATCTCTCTCCCTTTTGCAGTCAGTCCTGCTTGGTTTGGCTGAGTCCACTTGTTAGCACAGGAGATCCTCTCTTCCTCCTCTGCCTTTTCCCTGGAGCAGCAGAGCTTCTCAATGCTCCAACACCCAGCGCTGCACGATTGGCTGCAATGCTCTCCCCTGAAAAGCTCCACCCAGCCAACAGTGCCTCATGGATGCTCCTGAAGCTCTGGATTCCCTCATGTTTTCCACCCATAACTCCAAAGAAAACCAGCACCTTTCTCACAGAAGGAGGGGATAAACCCTTGGCAGCACCCTGGCAAACCTCTGCTGCTTCCAGGAGTCCTCAGTTGTGGAGAGACCCTCCTTGTTTGAGGCTTTTCCCCTAGGACCTGCCATGGACTGCTTTAGGAGAGTCCTGTGCAGCCTTGAAGTTTCAGTGCTGTAAAAGACCATCACCTTGTGCAGCCTTGCTTGGCGTCTTCGGTGCTGGACGTTCCCCTGGAAGGAGAAGAAAAGCGGGGGAAATGTTTCAAAGGATGTGTGAGTGTGTGAAGACGCTTGTGTGAAACTCTCGTGGTAGTCAGTGGCAATAACACTGTTTAATGAGAGGATGAGTGGACGGTGGATTCTGTCCAAAGGCACTGCTAATTCCTCCTAGTCCTCTTCCAGACCTGTGGCATCCCAGAGTGTTGTTCCCCATCTGCCTGGCAGCAAAGCTGGGGACAAGTTTTCTCAAAGGGCAGTTGAATCGATCATCCTGAGGAGAGTTCCCAACCTTTTGTTTCCCTTTTGCAGGCAGAGTGGTCCCTGCAGCCCCAGCAGGTCCTGGAGGGTGAGGAACAGCTGTCATGATCTCTACAGCACCTCTCTACAGCGGGGTGCACAACTGGACCAGCACAGAGCGGATTCGCATGTGTGGCCTCAACGAGGAGAGGTGAGGTGCGTGGGTGGCGGGCAGGGGAAAGGAGGCACGAGAAAGCCACTTGGGGATCTGGAGAGGCTGTGGGAAGGGAGCTGGTGCTGACTCAACCCTTTTTTACTGGCGTCTAAAATGGCCCGAAGTGCAAATGAGCCACAGGGAGGAACTGGATGTATTGGAGATGTTGGCATTCCAGGAGGGTCCCCACATCCCCTCCTCCTGCAAGGAGTGTGCTGGAGGTCTCAGCAGAGGATCTGTTGCCCAGGTGTGATTACGTTACCTCCACAGCTTTGATGCTGACAAGGCCAAGTTGTCTGCATGTGTTACTGGCTTCTCTAGACCTGTGCTCCCAATGGCCAACGAAGGGAAGGAGCTTGAACTAAAAGCTTTTGGTGACACAGGAGGGTTTGTGCCAACCAGATGATCAGATGGGAGGGTTGTGACTTGCCACCAAACAGGAGATTAGGGAGGATTAGTGGCTGGGAGGTAGGATCGATCAAGCCAAGCTCTGTCCCTTTGCATTGCCTGTTCATTCACATGGCTCGAGGTCTTATTCTCAGAACCAACTAGTTTGTGGCTTCCTTAAGGCCACCACGTCTGTTCCATGCATTTGCCAAAGCCAGGGAAGTTTTATGTGCACAGAGGCAGTGTGTGGCTGTCATTACTGGCCGCGAGTGCCGGGGGTTTTGGCCGTCCCTCGAGGCCGGTGCAGCAGCGGTGGGCAGGGATGAGCCCCAGGTCTTGCTCGGGCAGAGCTGATCTGCCGCCCGCAGCACCGCCGGGCGCCCTGTCCCGCAGATAAGGGCTGCAATGGCGATACCCGCCGAGCCTCTCGGCGCTGCCCCGAGCTTACAATAGGCGTCAAATTTTGAGATGTCTGGGCAGGCCGGGGGCTGCGCCCGGGCGCTCTCCTGTCCCTGATCCTCATCTCATTCCTTGGGCCCGGTCTGTGCGGGGCGGCATCGCGCACTGCCCCGGGAGGAGCCGCGGCAGGGCCGGGCGGAGACCACGCACCGCCCTCAGGGCTGCTCCGGGGCAGCCGAGGGGAGCTGGGCAGGGGGGTCCCGCCGGCTCTGCGGGTAGCGGCGGGCGAGCTTCGGACCGGGAAGCGCCGCGAATCGCCGGGAGCGCCGGGAGCGCCGTGCCCGGGCGGGCCCCGCGGGGCCGCGCCGGCCCCGCTCCGCTCCGGCCCCGCGGCGACGCCGGGACCCTCGCCCGCTCCGGCCTCTCGTCCCGTTCACCCCCGCCGCCAGATGAGGCGGCTTGGCCCCGGCCGCCATCCCCGCCCCGCCGCCTGTGACAGCCGGGCCGGGGAGCCCCTGGAGGGACCGACCGGGCTGTCATTGACCCGAAGGTCGGTGGGGATGGCACGGAAAACAGCCCCAAGCAGGGTCCCAGCAGCAGGGGTACAGAGCAGCGTCCTGGGGCTGAGCATACGGAGCAGCTTCCTGGCGCTGGGGGAACAGAGCAGCGTCCTGCTGCAGGAGGTACAGAGGACGTTCCTGGCACTGGGGGTACAAAGCAGAGTCCTGGGGCTGAGGCAGCCCAGAATGAGGTCCTGATGCTAGGGGTATGTAACAGGGCCCCAGCACTGTGGGTACGGAGTCCAAAGACAAATCGTGTGCCCACAGCTCTGTGTCTGTGACTGCTGTGAAAGCCCAGGACACAGGAAGCAAATCCGTCTGAAATTATGTCATCAACAGAATCCAGACTTGATCTGTTTTGTGCTTGTACTAGCAGCTTGTCCCAAGCAAAACAGCGGGGAAGTGCTGTCCAATGAATACCATTGGGGAAGAAGTGTCCCAAAGAGGTCACAGTCCTTGTCCTGTCCAGGCTTTCCACTGAGGAATCACATTCCAGAGATGAAGGGTCCAGACATGCTGGCCAGCAAGACATGGCACATCGGGATGGCTGTGGACTTCTGCTGCTCCTGTCCAGGCCTCCTGAGCCCAGAGAGCTTTGGCATCAGAGGGAGATCCCCACTGGCTGCTAGGCTGTGGGACAGGGAGGAAACAGAAGGAATGGAAATGAGGAGGTGCCTGTTAGGGAAAAGACAAGCAGGATGAGACTCAGGGGAGGATGGAAAGGTGTGGTGGGACAGAATGGCAAATGAAGGGGACAGGAACAGGTGTGTGGCACCAGGCTGTGACACTGGGGAAGGCTGGGCTGGCCCATGATGAGGCTGGATGGCCGTGGGTAAGGAAGGTGTACAGCTGCTCCACTGTCCCACATGGGGACAGGGAGGGGTGGGATTCTGGGAGGGTATTTTGGGGTTTCATAATGCTGTGTCTTCTTCTTCACCTAGGAGAGCCCCCATTTCTGATGAGGAGTCAAAAACGAGCAGCTCCCAGCACTTGGGGTCTCAAGAGTTTTGTGTCAGCAGCAGCCTTTCAGAGGTGAGTTCTTTGCTTGCGCAGATGAGTCCAAGAAGGCCATTCCTTGATGGAATAGGCCAGGCAGGAGCATTTTCCCTAATGGATTCATCGACTCCTTTTTGAGAGACATGCAGTGAGGCAAAGCCATGCTCTCCTTTGGGCAGAGTTTTTTGCTGCTTTTGCCTCTGTGTCCGGGTTGGGCAGATCCTTTGCGCTTCCCTGGGTGCCACTTGCATAGCTCCCAGGAACACTTTCTCCCTTCCTGCTGCAGGTGGAGCTCACAGCAGTCAGCGGTGGTGACAGCAGTGCCCAGGGGCTGGATGCTGATGGCAAGGTGGAGGAAAAGCTTGGACCCAAACTGGAGGAGCAGCCACCCGATCCCAACCCAAACCTGGAGTGTGTGGGAAAGACTGTGACAGACGACACCCTGAGCCCTCTGGCAGGTCAGGGGGATGGCAGAGGGCAGGAGCCAGCGACCCCCAGAGCTGTGGAGCAGGAGAGCAGTGATGCTGATGCTGCCTGGACACCAGCAGATCCTCCCAGCAACAAGCAGGCTGATGCTGCCCCAGCCTGCTCCGTGGCTCCAGAGAATGAGCTTGCTGGGAACGAGAAAACTCCCTCAAGCACTGCAGCACAAGGGCCAGGCGTGCTGGCAGAAGGGACGCTATCTGTGGTTGTCTCCAGCTGCAACACCTCTGCCTCCAGTCCCGCCACCTTCACATTGAACAGGGTTTGCTTTCCCCCCTCTCAGGCCCCTGCTATGCAAAAGCTGCCCCTGTCCTTCCAGGCTGGGGCTGTGCTGAGCCCAAGCCAGTCTCTGGTGTACATCCCCCCTCCCAGCTGCGGGCAGCCACTCAGCGTGGCCACGCTCCCAGCCACTCTGGGGGTCTCCTCCACACTCACCTTCCCCATCCTGCCTTCCTACCTGCACGAGCGTTGCCTACCAGGCATTATCGCTTCCCCAGAGCTGCGTTCCTACCCCTACACCTTCTCTGTCACCAGGCCCTTGGCTTCGGATGCCAAAGTGGTGTCTGTGGAGGTGAATCAGCTGAGCTGCCCCCCACCTTCAGGCGGAAGTAGTGCCCAGGCTGCTGCTGAGACCTCTCCCCTGTCCAGCACCGGCCTGGCCCTGCCCTCCAGCCAGGCTCTGCCGGCAGCACCAGCACCAGGCGGGAGCACCGCTCCCTCCTCTGGCACGGCTGTGCAGGCCAGAGCCCCGGCAGCTCCCGAGCCACATGCACCGGGAGCTGCCACTTCCCTGTCTCCTCTGAAGTCCCCTCCCCAGCTAGAGCGTGAGATGGTCTCATCCCCGGAGTGCAGTGAGATGCCTCTCGATCTCTCCTCCAAGTCCAACCGCCAGAAACTGCCTCCACCCAGCCAGCGCAAGACCCCTCCCATGCCCATCCTCACCCCCGTGCACACCAGCGGCAAAGCGCTGCTCACCACCGTCCTCTCCAAGTCCCAGCGCGCGGCACAGGCCACGGGCAGCAGCGTCACCTCGTGCCTCGGCACCACCCCACCCTTGGTCATCTTTCCTGAGTTCCTGCGCAACGGCGAGCAGGGCTCCTGGGTGAAGAACACCACGCTCATCAGCACCATTCCCGGCACTTACGTTGGTGTCGCCAACCCAGTGCCGGCCTCTCTGCTGCTCAGCAAGGATGTCGGCGTGAGCCTCGGCAGGGACCCACGCCACCTGCCCAAGCAGGAGCCCATCTCCATCATAGACCAGGGCGAGCCCCGCAGTGCCGGCATTCCCTGTGGGAAGAAAGCCAACCAGGTTGGCACGGAAGGACACCAGGATCCTGCCAGGAGACTTCTTCATGGTAGAGTTGCTCCAGGAGCTCCTTTGTGTCAGTCCAAGGACATCGCCACCTGGAATCCTGTCCAGGGAAGCATGTACCCACGATGCCCCGTCAATGGAAAACCTTCCAATCCTCAGCTTCTGCCTCTGGGCTGGTCTCCGTACCATCAAACCCCGCTGCTTTCCATCGGCATCTCCACAGCAGGACAGCTGCCCCTGAACCAGAGCAGCCCCTGCAAGACAGCCGGGGCAGGCAAGCTGCCAGCATTCCCGAGCGTGCAGCCTGCTGAGCCCAGCGCGGCCGCCCAGAGCGTGCCGGAGGGTGAACAAGATGCTGTGGCCAAGAGCAAGAGCTGCCGGGCCTTGCCCAAGCCCTGCGAGGAGCCGACCAACCCAGCACCACCAGAGGCAGGTCCAGCTTTCCATACCAGCACTTTGGATGGGAAAGGGGGTAAGGGGAAGCTGGACAACACTCTGAAGAGTCAGGAGTGCACTCAGCCAGAGGCTGACTCCGGTCAGGAGAGCAACGCACAGACTGAGGCTCCCCAGGAGAGCTGTAGCCTCAAACAGCCAGATGCAAAACCCAAAAACCAAGTGTTAGCGGCGTATTTGTCACATGACCTGCCAACGGCTGGGCAGCAGGGCCTGCAGATGGTGCCAGAGGTGCCCACAGATGGCCAGCACAAGGAGCTGGGCTGCAAGGGCTCCCAGGAGCCACCGGCCACGGAGTCGTGTGTGCAGCAGGTGGATCTGTGCAGGGTGAAGAAGGAACGAGTGGAGTGTGATGTGTCCTTTCCCTCGGTGACCTGCCTGCGTGCTGGGGCGGCTCCCCAGGCCTTTGCTGAGGCTAAGCTCAAAGGAACGGGGCAAATCAAGCAGGAGGGTGGCACACGCTGCAAGGCCAAACGGCAGCATGATGGGGACACCAGGCAGAGCCACAAGAGACTGAAGTGCCAAGGCCAGAACAGTGATGAGTCCCCAAGCAAGTCGCGAAGCCGGAGCGTGCATGGCCGGAAGGTGCATGGGATGGGCTGGGACTGCTGGGTCAGGGCAAAGGTGGGGCTGGGGGACAGGAGGGAGCTCTCATGGGGGGCAGTTGAGGGCACAGGGCTTTCTACCTGTGCTCCTGGGCACTGCCTGGCTGTGGGGGAATGTACCTGTGCTGCAGGTTGTCCAGGGCAGAAATGTATCTGGATTGTCAAAAAAGCTGGAGGGCGCCAGCGTAATCAGTGGAGACAGAGTTTTGTGCTGCTCCAGCTCAGTCAGGGGGAAGCTCCAGCTTCAGCCCATGTCCTCCTTTCACAGTGGCAAAAACACCACGACAATCCACGTGAGCTTGGCAAGCAGGAAGGCCGGGAAGGCCGAGGCAGCTCGGGTGCCATCACGGATCACAACAGCCTCGGGGTAAAGCGCAAGCGTAGGAGGCCAGCGAAGACGGAGTGCCCATCTCCGGCTCACCGTGGAGATAGCCACGAGGAAGGTACTCTTGGGAATGGCAGTGGGTTCCTGCGGGATCAGGCTGCCCTGGGGGCCAAACTGCTGTTCTCCTGAAGCCAAATGGCCTCTGGAGCTGGGTTGAGATCCAAAATAGAGCTGCAGCATGATCAGACTCCCAGAATGGGGAAGCTTGGGAGAAACCTTAAAGCTCATCTTTTTCCACCCTGCTGCCATGGGCAGGGGCACCTTTCACTAGACCAAGTTGCTCCTGGTCGAGCCTGGCCTTAGATGTTTCCAGAGATGGCACATCCCCCACCTCTCTGGAGAACCTGTTGCCAGTGTTTTAGGACCCTCATTTTCAAAAAGTTCTTTCCTGTGACCAATCTAAACCAACCTCTGTTGGTTTAAAGCCTTGGGCCATCACAGCAGCCCCTGCTATGGTGACACTGCATTGCCCTTCCCACATCACAGGCCTATGATCTGTTTTCTCACGGCTTGGTTTTCCTCACAGGTTACTTGGAGAAGAAGCCGAAGAACAACTTCCGGGATTTCATTCCGGTGGTGCTGAGCAGCCGGACGCGCAGTCAGTCAGGTGAGTTGGTGCCCAGGCTCCTGGTTGGACTGTGAGCATTCTCTTTTCATGTCGCCTTGTCTGTGCATTTTGTCCTGCTTTGAGACTTTGCCTTGTGGATCCTCTTGGCTTTTTTGTCAGCTAGAAATCCCACTTTTTTGCAGGAAGCATTGCTGGCTCTTCTTCTGGTGTGACAGGAGAGTGTGATGTGAGTGGTCCGGAGATTTTACCATTGCTGGAGGAGGATCAGGAAGAGGAGGAGGAGGAAGAGGAAGAGGAGGAGGAGGAGGAGGAGGAGGAGGAGACATCCTTGAAACATCGCAAGCTGCGCAAATCCCACAGGACATCCCGCTGCCACAACCGCAGGGACAGGGACAGGTCTGTGTCTGAGAGGAGCAGCTGTCACACGAGGAGGACCCGGGAGCTGCCCTGGAGAGCAGAATCACCCAGGCAGGTGTGGGAGCCCAACGAGGAGGAGGAGGAGGAGGAGGAGGATGGCCACATCAAAAGGAAGAAAAGGAGACGGCAGAAAAGTCGGAAATACCAGACAGGGGAATACCTGACTGAGCGGGAGGAGGAGCAAGTGGGATATCCCCACCGGAGGCGGAAATCCAAAGCAGGTACAAGCTGGGAAGGGGGTTCGGGTACTAAACTGGGGACTAGCATGGGAAATTTTTGTTTTGTTTTGTGTGGAATTTTTGGGGGGATTTGGTTTTCATTATTTTTTGGTAATGATGAAACTCCCTCAGTGTTAATGACTTGGTGGCTGTAGCATGGGCTGCTTCACTTGACTAGCTCTTCTTTCAAAAACATTTACAGTAAATTCTAGAGCAGTCAACAGCAATTTATGTGGCTAATTAGACACTGATCTTACCTTTGGATTAAGACAGAGGGCGTGGGAAACTGAGAATGAGATGAGGTAGCACAGTGGAATATTTCTGGACAAGCAGGGTCCCTCGGAGCCATGCTCAGCTATCTGTGCTAACACAGGGGGATGTGGAGCCATCCTGATCCAACTAGGCTGCTCTTGGCTTTGTCTTGCTCTGTGAGCGTCACTTGCAGACTTGCACCAGGAAGCACAAGGGTGAGAGGATTAGCAAGGGTGCAGTCATGGGGGATCCCCCTCTGTGGTTTGTAGGCATGAGGAGGAACACACTGTGCCTGTCTGTGTCCACCTCTGCTCTGCCACTGCTCCTGCACCTTCCTCTGCCACTGCCAGACCCTGTGTGAAACCCAAACCCACGATGAGCACATCCCTGAGGGCAGCAGTCTGCCATCCCCTCTCCCTGTGCAGGGACAGTCGAGGCTGTGGGTGCTGTCCAGCTGTGCTCGGTGTGTGCTGGTGCCTGGCTGTGGCTTGTAGTCCAGAGTCACACAGGTGACAGCGGGGGGAAAGCTGTCATGGGCAGCACTTGTGCCAGCCTTCTGCACACTGTGCTCTTGGAGGGCATGAAGTGGCCATGGCCCTGTTGCCTTCTGGCGCACTGGAGCTCAGACTGATACTCCTCACTCAGGTGCTGCTGAGATGCTGTGGGGAGCAGAGGTGGTTGCTGTTCTCCCAGCAGCTGGTATCTGCTCCAGCACAGCGTTACACTATCCTGTGCTGTCTGAGAGCCTCTGTCACATCAGGAACAAAGTTTCGAGTTGGCTTCCTGGTGTGTTGGCAACTCAGGCACTCTTGGGATGCCTCCTGTTCAGAATGGGAGCCTGGAAGGAGCTTTCAGGAGGGTTTGCCCCCAGCTTTACCACATATGTTATGAGTTTCTGTCTGTCTGTCCAGCTTCCCTCAGAGGCTGGACCTGCTGTAGTTTGTATTCAGAAGTTGTGGCCTGGAGCCACCTCCAGTGGCAGTAGAGTTCTGAAGTTCTCTCCCTGCAGTGCAAAGTCCTTTCCTCTGTCTCTTTTTAACTGATCTCTTACTCATTTAATGGAGTGCCTGTAAGTCTCATGCTGCAGGAGTGGGTGAGCAGGATTCCTCCATTCAGTGAAGACAAGGCTGGATTTCCCTTGAGGAATCCTGGTGCTTCTTAACTGGATGCATGTTAATGAAAACTTAAATGTGCTCCTTAACTTCAGGGGAAGATGTGAGAGGGCAAAACAGGTCTGTTATGTTTAGGCAGCAAGCACTGAGTGTTCACAGACAGCTCCTGCTTGTCCTGCCCCTCTAAGACATATCCCAATGAATCCTGCTCCCATCTTTCCCTGGGTGTCTGATGTACATGCTGAGTTCATCCCAGATGGGAGAATCTGTGCATTCTCTCTGCTTCTCCTTCCTGCAGTGCCCCTGTCGTGGGGCTGGATTTAGAATAATGGAACCCCAGAAAGGTTTGGATTGGAAGAGACCTTAAAGCTCATCCAGTTCCACCCCTGCCGTGGGCAGGGACACCTTTCACTATCCTAGGGTGCTCTAAGCCTGTCCAGCCTGGCCTTGGACACTTCCAGGGATGGTGCAGCCACAACTTCTCTGATTTCTGTGCAGCTCTCAGAGACGGGCAGTTTGTCTTGCCTGGTGGCAGAGGTCTGGGTGACCTTCAGTGTGGTAACTGCACACTGAAGCTCCACACTTGTTCACATTTCTCCTTTAGATTGCAGGCACCGGAAGCAGAAGGAGTCTGGGAAGAGCAAAGGCACAGAGCTGCAGCTGAGGAGCAGGCTATCCCCATCCCCCCGGAAATCTCAAGGACACACGGACTTTCGGAATGGCTTCTTCCTGGAGCACTCCGACACCTCTCCTGTCCAAGAAGAGCTAGAGAAACCGTCAGGAAAACGCAAATGTAAAACCAAACACCTGGCAGGGATCTGTGACGAGGGGAAGGTATGGCTTGAACAGATGAGGGGAACATGTGAGGGGAGAAGGGGACTCCCATGAGTCATAGCCACATGTGCCAAGGAGTTGTATTCCTTTCTTTCCCAGGGGAAAGGCTGCTGCAACCAGCCCAAAATGTGCTCTCCGAAGAAGCCCCAGGACTTGTGGACACTTTGTAAGTCCCATCGGGCCAGCCCAGGGAGTTCTCCTGAGCCGCCCCCAGCCCAGAACGTTCCCCCCGGAGCTCGGCGGCTGATTGTGAACAAGAACGCAGGGGAGACGCTCCTGCAGCGAGCGGCTCGCCTGGGCTACAAGGTGAGTTCTGTGCCCTCCTGCGTGTGCCCCTGCTGCCCCGCCCAGGCTGGTTGTCACAGCCGTGCTCTTGCTGTGCAGGACGTGGTGCTGTACTGCCTGCAGAAGAAGAGCAGTGACGTGAACCACCATGACAACGCGGGGTACACGGCCCTGCACGAGGCCTGTGCACGCGGCTGGATCGACATCCTGCACATCCTGCTCCAGCACGGCGCCAACGTCAACTGCAGCGCCCAGGACGGCACCAGGTGAGTCAGCACAGCGTGGGGCAGGGTGGGGCAGGGAGCAGAGTGGGTTCTTCAGGTTGGTCATCACTAAGTTGATGTTAACCCAAACCAGAGCATTTCCTTAGCGAACTCCCAGTCCCTTTCTGCCCTTGCAGGCCTATCCATGATGCAGTAGCGAATGACAACCTAGAAACCATGTGGCTTCTCCTTTCCTATGGTGCTGATCCCACTCTGGCCACATACTCTGGGCAGACAGCAGTGAAGTTGGCCACCAGCGATGTGATGAAGCGCTTCCTCTGTGGTAGGTGCCAGGCCTGGGGTCACGGTGTTCCAGACCTTCCCCTCTGGCAGCATACAGGGCCAAAGCTGGGTGTGAAAGGGCCTGAGCAGAAAATTACTTAGTCTTTAGTTCTGTCCTGTCATACAAGCGTGTTTTCACAACCCAAACTTTAATTATAGAATTGTATGTGTTTCCTGTATAAGATAAAAGTCACTTTTCAGTGTGCAAGGAGGTTTGTGTACATGCCAAGATGAGTGTTGTGGCTTCTCCACAACAGCAAGGAAGGGACAGCCAGAGGTGGCTCCCAGACAGAGACAAGACAGAAAATCCCCAGTGTTGAAAAAACTCTTTTCCCACTGCTGTGTGAGCTCCTCTAGGGTCAACTCCTCACACAGGTTTTGGGGATGGTGGTTTGGAGCTCAGGACTGTTCTACAAATCTTTCTTTCCAAGCCACTTCACACTGTCTGTTTTTTCCCTTTTCAGCTCCCATTTCCTTGCTGGGGGCCTGGGGTGATGCCCACTCCTGAGCAGCGACACCCTTCCTGCAGCTGTGGTACAGCTTTTGCCGTAATGCCCAAGTGGGAAAAGCAGCAGGGGTGAAGCAGCTCCCCCTGGATCTGTGGTTGTGCACACCAGGATGATGCTTCAAGCCATTAACTGTCTGGATTTTCTCTCTCTAGATTACCTGTCAGATCTGCAGGGCCGCAGTGACGGAGACCCTCGGACAGCCTGGGATTTCTATAGCAGCTCCGTGCTCGGTGAGTGCGGCGCGGGCTGGGTCGGTGGCAGCAGAGCAGGAGGTGATGCTGTGGAAAACACGTCATTTCCTCGGGTTTGGCCACATCCCTCTCTACTCATGCTTTGGGTAGAGACCTTGCTGTGGTGATACATGCTGGGAGTTGCAACATGGAGGGATTTCTTTGGGTGCGGGACTGGGCTGCAGGTGCTGCTGCTGATTCCTGAGGGTCTTTGGTTGTCGATCCCAAGCGTGTCATTCTTGAGCAGTTCTTGTTGCTCCCCTGCTAACTGGTCACCAAGGAAGGTGAAGGACATACTCATTCCTTCAAGGTGTAGAAGTCTTGAACTTCCAGGTTCCCAGAGCTGCCCATCCCTCTCCCCTGCTTTGGAGGGGAAATGTTCATCCAGGGGAGGTCCTGTTCTTACAAAACCAGGCATTTTTCTCAGTGAAGGGCTGACTGCTGCCTTTACTGTCACTTCTTCAAAACTGTGATTACAATGGAAGACATTCTGGATCTGGCATGGGCCTGTGGCAGACTGGAGTCCCTCCAGCCTCTTCCAAGTTCAGTGCTCCTGAGCCCTCCATAAGGACTTGGAGCATTTACACTGGCAGGCTGAGAGGCTGCTTGTTGATTGTAGTTGTTCACCTCCATAACTTCCAACATCCTTCTAGAAACAAAAACAAATCTGATACATTCAGGAGGGTGTTCTTGGAAGAGGACTTGTCCTTGGAGGACCCTGATGTCTTTCCATTCCAGAACAGGAGAAATTCTTCACTCCTGAGAGCACTGTTTGTAGGGCTGCTGCACCTCAGCCCTGCCAAGGGAACAGTTCAAACCTCAGCCTCCTTCTTCAGAATTTCTCACTCTCAAAGCTGCCTTTACAAAGAAAAATGGCTGTCCTTTGTGATATTTTTAAAGATACTACCCCTTTTGATTCATCACTGATTTCATGCTGCCCCATCCATGGGGCATTCCCAGTGTTACCTTTGGGAGGCTGCCTGGCAAGGCAGGAGCTAACCCAGCTGGGAAGTGATCCCTTACCCTGCCAGGTGTGTTTCCAGCAGGCACAGGAAGGGACCCTCCTCCCCATCCTCCTGGGATCAGTTTACAGCAGCCACAGCTGTGGTGCCAGCCCCACGTCACCTTTGCTGTGCCAGGCACTGCTGCTGGACGCTGCCAGAGCCGCAGAAAAACCAGGATGCCCAAGCCTGAGACATGGGCTGGTTTCTTTACAGCCTGTTTACTGTGTGTCCTGCAATGTCCCTTTCTATCTCAGGAACCTCAGCAGTCACCTTGGGTCACCTGGAACAGTACTTCCCAGCCCGGGGCAGGGAAGTACCTCATTCTGCTCTGGAATAATGGAGCTGTTCTCAATCATCACAGGCAGCAAACAACTCTCCTCCTCCCGTGGATCAGTCCTTTGAAATCTCCCTTTCCATCAGCTCCACCAGCTGAAGCACTGTATGTCCCTCAGGATACAGGAGAAATCCCAAGACCTGCTTGAGCTGTTCCTATTCTTTGAGGCAGGAATGCTGTCCACATTTTCCTTGAGGTCTGCAACTCTCTGGGGGCAGAAGGATAATGAAGGAAGCCAGGGTGTGGGATCTCTGAGGTGTGGAAAAGTCATCAGTGTCCTGTGCTTGGTGCTGCTGGAGCTCCAGACACAAAGTCCCAGTCTGGGGTTTGTCTCCACTTGGGACAGGCATTGTTGTGCCTGATTGTCTCCCTCCGTGGTACAGAATGTTCCTGTCCTCGTCCCAGCCTTTGCACGGGCAGACGGACAGGACTGAGCTTTCAGGACAGACAGTGAGCCCTATTTTGGCCACATTAAATGCATTTAATTATTTTTTTTCTGAGTTGCTCAGGATATCTGAGGTTTTTCAGTGAAGGCATCTGAGTTTTGCCAGCAGCAACATTGGATCAATAATCACGTCACTTATTTTTGTCCTGTTCTATAGCAAGTTTGGACGATTTCAGCACCCTGTTTCTTAGGGAATATTTTCCCTTGGCAGTACTAGGAAATAAATGTTTTTCCCCAAAACCCTGCTTGAGCCAGTGTCCCCTGTCATCTGCTGTTTTCCTCAGTTGGAATCCCACTCGTGCTGGGTGAGCAGCTGGGTGTGTGAAGCTTCCTTGTGCAGCACACCAGAAGATTTTCTTTTTTCTCAACCTTTTCTCTTGTGCGTGGGGTTGAACTTTTGCATGATTGGTTTATTTGCTTAGGGACACATTGGGTCTCGCTGCTTTCTGTAGAATCTAAACTCTCTTATCTGGAAGTTTTTGGAGGTCTCCTGTATTATCTCAGTGGGACAACACTACTCTGCGAACTTAAGACTATTCATACCTCTTCATAATAAAATCCAGGCAGCAAGCTTCTTTTCAACAGCTTTTCAGATTGGTGAATAGGGAAATTATCTGTTTTTAAATTATTTTGGATCCAGCCTGCTGTTCTCCATCCCCTCTGGACACAGATCCTGCTGGAGCTCAGATGCCTCCTGGTACACCCAGGCAAATTCTCTAAGTCATAGAATCATGTACTGGTTTGAGTTGGCAGAACCTTAAAGACCATCTTATTCCACTCTTCTACCATGAACAGGGACACTTTCCACTATCCCAGGTTGCTCCAAGCCCCATCCAACCTGGCCTTGGACACTTCCAGGGATGGGGCAGCCACAGCTTCTCTGAGCCCTGTGCCAGGGCCTCACCACTCTCACAGGGAAGAACTTCTGTATATCCACCTTAAATTTCCCTTCATGCTTGTTGCTTGGTTGGATTGGTCTCTGGTGGCACAGCCTTGCTGTCCTCACTGAGATGGGTGCTGACTGCCCTGGATCACCTGCCAGAGGTTCTGAAGGAGAGGGAGGGATCTGGGGGGAGAAGCTCTTGAGGAGCAGAGTGCTTGCTGTGGCTTCCTTGGTAGGGCCTGTGCAGGCAAAGCCTCTCTACATCCACCTCCCTTCTCGCTGTTCCAGGCTGAGGATATCTGTGCTGGCATGGGACAGGGGCCAAGGTCATTTTGGAGAGAGTCTGGGGTCTACACGTGGGGTGGCTGATGGTGCAGACTGTGCCCTGTCCCACCTGTGGGACCAGAGCACACCTGAGCTTCCTGCCATGACTCAGGATGTTCTCCCCACCTCACCTGGCCAGTGAGCAATCTCTCCATGCAGAGCAGCCAGCACTTGCTCCGTGTTCCTCTGGGACGAGGGGCTGCAGGGGAGCAGGAGGGGTGCAGTCCTCACATGGCTGTGGGAATGTTGTGGGAAGGTGCCTGTGGGGTTGTGGCAGTGGCCAGGGAGTACCAGCATGGGCTGGTGTGTGACTGAGCAGTGCCAACCTTTGTCCTGTTGCAGAGGGGAAGGACAGCATCGGCTGTGACTTGCTGCTCAACCCTCCAGGGAGCTCAGACCAGGAGGAAGAGGAGCAAGAAGCAGATAACTTCATGTTTGAGTTCTCAGACAAGCCACTGCTTCCCAGCTACAACCTCCAAGTGTCTGTCTCCCGGGGGTGAGTGCCTTTCCCTGAGCACTGAGCAGGACCACGGGGGGCTGCAGCCCTGGCATGGGCAGCAGCACGTTGATTGTTCCAGTGGGGTTAATAGCTGCTCGTGGATCTCAGATGTTTTTTTTCATAGAATCATCACAGAATCCCAGAATGGTTTGGGTTGGGAAGGACCTTACAGCTCATCCCATTCCACTCCCCTGCCATGGACAGGGACACCTTCCATTAGACCAGGGTGCTCCAAGCCTCGTCCAAGCTGGCCTTGGACACTTCCAGGGATGGGGCAGCCACAGCTGCTCTGGAGAGCAGAGGGAAGTTGTGGCTGTGGCACTGGGGAAGTTGGGGAAGCACAGCCTGGAATGTTCTCAGGGAGTAGGGAAGGCTCATCAGGGTTCCCTCCACCCTCCATAGCAAGGCACATCCTGCTGCCCTGAGTGTCCCTGTGTCAGGAAGCTCCCCTCTCATCCCTGTGAGCCTGCTAGTTCTAGCCCCATGTTCCTTCAGCAGCAGCTCACACTTATGGCTCTGAGATTGTTTCCTTTCTATCATGACTAAATCAGTCCCAGCACTGGAACAACATTCCCACCTGCACCCCCTGTGACACAGTGGCTGTTGCTGGGGCAGAAGGGTGACTTGGAAGAGGCAACAACCAAAGCACCACTCTTCTCTGCAGCAAATTTCTGTGCCTGCCAGTGTTTGTCCATGCAGAGGGACACGTGCAGCATGCCCTCCAGCAATAAACCACACCAGAAGCTCCATTTCCTGACCATGTGGCTTATTCCTGGCAGGGAAGCTGCCAGGACCTTGTTGAAGGCAGGACTTTCACATCACTGTCTCTGACTGGCTGTGAGTGTTTTAAAAAGCTGTGACCTTTGAGGCTGCCATCAAACCCCAGTCCGTGGGCTCCTGAGGGGAAGCAGCACATGGAGAACAGTGCCAGGGCCAGAGGGGAGGGCCAGCATGCCAGGAGGAAGGGGGGAAGGCACCGTGCCTGCAGCCCCCTCCACCCCTATAACCCACCGTGCTCTTGCCATCCTCACAGGCCCTGCAACTGGTTCCTGTTCTCTGATGTGCTCAAGCGGCTGAAGCTGTCCTCCCGCATATTTCAGGCCCGCTTCCCGCACTTCGAGGTGGCCACGCTGCCCCGGGCAGAGTTCCAGCGCCAGGTGTCCCTCAGCCAGGTGCTGGCGCAGGAGGAGGTGCCAGCGAGCCCCGAGCTGGCGCCGGGCACGGCAGAGACTGTGGAGCTGGTGCACTACGAGCCCGAGCTGCTGCAGCTCTTGGGCTCGGTGGTGGAGTACCAGGCCTGGAGCAGCTGACGGGGACAGGCCACTCCCGGCATCACGAGGCAATAATAAGGACCAAGGGGAAGCAGCTCTCTCAGCGCCAGCAGCAGGGACCCGAGTCTTTGAGCAGCCGCTCCTCCTCTCCTCAGGGTCTCCTCCAGCTGGGGAGGGAGGACCCTCGCCTCCAAGGCATTCCCAAGGTCCCCCGCCCACAAGCAGTGGCGGTCGCTGCCGCCGCCGCCTCATCCAGCTCCGGTGGGTGCTGGAGCCCCCTGCACGGGGCTCAGCGAGGGGTGGGAACCGCCGCCCCTCCCCACCGGACCCTACGGAACTGCGCCTCTCCGTTTGCCCTCCCCCCCGCCCAATGTCTTCCATAGTATTTATTTAATTAGTATTTAATTTGTAATGTTTTCTTTGTTTTTGCTGAGTCTGTATCACTGTGATGGTGAGCTCCGGGCTGTGGATGAGGCCGTCCCCCGCCCCTCTCCAGCGTACCCCGAGGCCAGCCAGGCCCAGGGGTTCCCGTCCCTCCCTGGCAACAAGCCAGGGAACAGCCCCTTCCCGTGGCTTTGGAGCTGGCTCCTGCTGCCAGCGCTCAGCCGCAGCCGGGAGCCAGCCCCACCGCTCCATCCTCTCCCGCGCTCCTCCTCCATCTCATTCGTGCTGCTGCTCCCTGTCCCCGGCGGCGCCGCCCGGGCAGGCGCAGCCCGCGGCCCGCAGCGCGTCCCCCGCTTCGGCAGCTTGTGCCCCGCCCCAGGCTCTGTCCCCTGGGCAGGAGCCGCCCCCTTGGCCCGCTCCCCGCCGGTGTCCCGGGAGCAGCTTTCTGTGCAGCAGCGGGTGCGGGCGGGCTGCTCTGCCTCGGGGCCGGTACAGTTTTATTGTACAGGTGCTAACAGGACTGAGGTCGGGACAATCGGGGGATTTCTGGCTCTCCCCGCTCCGCAGCGGGAGCCTTGGGTGAGTTTTTTTGTTGGTTCGTTTTTTCTTTGTGTTGTGTTTCTCCCCAGCCAGGGCAGGCGTTTTCCCCCTTGGAGCCCCGCTGCCAGCCTTCCCCCGAGGGCCTGGCAGCACCTTCTTTAAGCCAAGGGTTTTTTTGCCTTTGGGTGTGTATTCTGGTTGCTCTTTCTGATTTCTGTTTTATTATATGCAGCAACAGGCTGTGGTGTCAAAAACACTGATGTACAGAAAAAACCTGCATCAGGCTCCCTGGCTCCTGCCTTTTTTTTTCGTGTCCAGGCAGATTTCTGTGCATGTCAGCCTCAGTCTGTGGCTCAGGGAAGGGAGGGGGGAAGTGGCCTGTGGGACCTGCAGGGCCCATGTGTCTGCACAGCTGGAAAAACGGAGACTCCACTGCTCCTCCCAGCTTCCTGCCTGGCCCTGGTGCTGGGAACTCTGCAGCCAAGCCCAGCAATACCCAAACACAGATGTCAGGGTAGCCCTGTCTGGTCCCAGTACCCCCAGCTCATCCATGGGGCAGCTGGTCCCTGGCTGGCTTCACTCACCTCTGTGGGAGCAGAGGGCACTCAGGGCAGTGCTGTATTTTTGTTTCCTTAGGAAGGACAGCAGGAATGCCATGATGACAAGACTAGGAGGAAAGCTTTGTCCACACACCACCAAGAGGAACTCCCCAAAGTGATACAGGAGCAGTCAAAGCAGGCCTTAAAAAGAGAGGGGAGAAGTGCTCCCATACTGGGGAGGTTCCTTGTGAACCTAAGGAGGTGCAGCCATAGGGAAAACTTACCAAATGAGTGATCTGAAATGTTCACTTAGAAGCAGGTAGGTGGGAGGGAGCTGACGGGGTTCTGCTGGGGGTTGGCCATCAGCACCAGCCCAGGGATCTCAACCAGAGGAGCTGGAGCACCTGAAGCCTGGCAGAGGCCAAGGGCATGGGCTCTGCTTGGCTGGAGGAGCTCAGGGGCTCTCCTGCTCTGCAGAGGCCTCACCTGCAGCCAACTTTCTCCTGACAGACCAGGCACAGGTGGGCACGATTAGAGAAATTAAATGCTTTATCAAAACTGGTTCATCTCAATGAGCCATGGCCAAGAGTAGGGTGGCAGTGCTGTCCATCCCCACCTCTCTGGTGTGCTGTGCTCAGGCCATAGTGGCTGCCTGGAGCAGCGGCTGTCCCTGAGATCCCAGAGGGTGCTGGCAGCATGAGGCTGTCCAGCCGTGCAGGAGTGGCAGAATGCCCTGCAGAACAGGGAGGGTGGCTGCTGGTGAGCCAGGGCCTCAGTGCCTGTGCAGGGAGCAGAGCTGTGGCTCTTGGTCTGTGTCCACTCATCAGTGATTTGAGGAGAAGCAGAACTCTTCTCTTGTATTGGAGTCTCAGTTTCTGTCTCCTGGTCAGCCATGAGGGGAGCAGCTGAATTTTTCTCTTTTTCTGCCACAGTATCTGTCTGTGTCTCCTGCTCGGCATATTGAACAGCTGAACCTGCCTCTTGTGCCCAGGTCTCAGTCTGTGTTTCCTGATCCATATGGTGAGAGGCCTTTCTCTGTGGGTCAGGAACTGGTTTCCTTATGGAGACCTGGAAGGAGAGTTGGGGATTTGTAGAGGATTTCTGGGCTGCCCCCAGCAGCAGCTGCTGGGATAGGAGTGAAGGAGCTGCTGGGCGTGCAGCGCTGTGGGCAGGGAAAGCCTCCCTCGTCCGGCCCTCTGCGCTTGGCCCTCACCAGCTGTGGCCGCCCCGGGCCGCTGCAGGCCCGGCGGCTCCTCACGGGGCGGTGCTGGCCGCGGGCTGCGGCTCTGCTGGCCAGGGCGGCCGGCTGCGAGGAGCCACCAGGGCGGGACTCGCGCCCCTGCGGGCCTTGTTCCCGGCCCGCCTCGTCCGGGCTGAGGCGGCTCCCGGTGCCCCCCGAGCTCAGGGAGCTGCGGGATGTCAGCCGGATTAGGGACCGGCCCTGGGAGCTGCGGGGCGATGTCAGCCGGTACAGGGACCGGCCCTGGGAGCTGCGGGGCGATGTCAGCCGGTACAGGGACCGGCCCTCGGTGCCCTGGGGCAGCGTCAGCCGGTGCAGGGACTGGCCCCGGCTGCCCCGAGGCTGCCGCAGCTGTGGGCAGGAGGAAGAGCTGTGGGATGGAGGCAGCTGCCTGGGCAGGGTGCTGGTATGCCTGGTGCCATCCTCCTGTTGGCCTCTCCCTCCATCTCTCAGCTGGTGCCTCTCCTTGGGGCTCTGGGGACTGGGGTGCTGCTCCTCCATGGCTACTTTTCCACAGGTGTCTTGGAAGCTGCTACTTCATCAGCAAGGTGTTCTGCTTGAGTTGGTACCCCAGAGAGGCTCCTTAAACACCCTATGGGGAGGATGTGGCCCTGCTGTGTCACAATGGCCCCTGGTGTCATGAGGCCCTGCATCACCCAATGCAGTTGTCAGGTGTGTTGGGCTTGCTTGGCCAGGTTTTGGCAGCAAGGGGGCTACAGGGGTGGCTTCTGTGAGAATTGCCAAAACTTTCCCCGCGTCCAACAGAGCCAATGCCACCGGCTCCAAGATGCAACCACTGCTGGCCAAGGCTGAGCCCAGCAAAGATGGTGGTGACACCTCGGGGATAAAAGATTTAACTGCAGCCCATGGGAAGGACTCCGCTGGAGAACTTCATGGAGCACTGGCTCCTGTGGGAGGGACCCCACACTGGAGCAGGGGAAGGACTACAACCCCTCTCCCTGAGCAGGGACAGAAACAGCGTGTGATGAACGGACCATGGCCCTCATTCCCTATCTCCTTGGGAGGATGGAGAGCCCAGAAAGGAAAGGGAGGGAGGGGAAGTGTTTTTAAAATTTGTTTTACTTCTCATCATCCTGCTCTGATTTTGATTGGTAATTGATTTTCCCAAGTTGAGTCTATTTCTACAGTCTGGAGAACAGGCAGAGAGCCTGCAGGCCTGCTTACTCCCCAGTGGGAATTCCTGCAAGGAAAGAGGGAGATCTGCAGGTTTCTCCAAGGCTTACACAAGGGAAAACTGACCCCAGTGGGGCAGCATGCTCCCCTTTCCTCACCAGCCAGGCAGTGGTGCAGGAAGGAGCAGGTGACTAGAACAATCTGACTTTATTGGTGCAAACACTGGGCTTGGGTGAGTGGAATATTCCCAAGTGCTCCCAGGAAGCTGCCCAAGGTGCAGGGGTGCACACAGCCAGCAGCCCACTTCCTCCAGGTGCTCCTGCTGTGGAGTTCAGTCTTCGTGGATGTTGAAGAGCTTTGCTACTTCATTGAGGTCCTCATGCTCCTCCCCATCTTTGATGATCTGGAAGATGGAGAACACATTAAATCCTGCACATCTGTAGAGAGCCAGTGCTGCAGGACTGTCACAGCCAATGCCAGGAACTCCTTGGATCCTCTCTGAAGCACCAGACTGAGACAGCCACAACACAACAGCACTTTCTACACTCTAATTCACATGGGAGTCCTAAATGTACCATCACCTGCCTACAGGAACAGCAGGAAAACCAGCCTCCTGTCCCTGTGGGATTTGTTTCTGGGTTTCCTTTTACAGCCAGGGAGAACAAGTGTTTTAAAAAGTGATTCAGCTCTGCAAAGGTGAGCCTGGCCCTGACTTGGAGCCAGGATACCTGACTTGAACCTCTAACTTTTAGACAAGAGAAGACACCACAGATTTAGGGTAAGGATTGCTAAGGGAGGGAGGGAGGAAAGGAGGAAGGAAGGAAGGCAGGCAGGCAGGATCTCCCATGGGGATGGCAGAAGCTACATGTTTCAATTGCATCTTCAGATTAGATATGAACAAAGACTTCCACCATGAATAGTTTGTCTTGGGACAGATCACCCAAGGGTAGTGTGGGATCACTACTACAATTCAAACAACCAAAATTCTTCAAAGGTTTTAAAACCTGACCTGGGTCTGGCTTAACAGACTTAGGTGAGCTGAGAGGTCTGGGCCATGGGGGTGGGGACACACTGAGCCCGTGTTTAGGGCTGCTCCAGCCCGGCCATGGTGGCTGTTTCTGGGATGGTGACATTTGAGACTTTTTCAGATGCTTGGACATGGGACAAAGCAGCACAAAAATGGGACACTTCACTCCTGTGCCATCATTGTGACTCCAGCCTGTACTACAGACCTGAAATCAGCCATGCCAAGGCAAGGCTTGGAGCACACACCTGATTCGAGTTATTTGTGTAAAAAATTTGCAAACATACAAAAAAGCACAGGGACAGTTCCCCTAATTCACCCAGAACAGTGTTCCCATTGGATGTTGCCCAGCTCTGCACCAGACAGAGCATCTGCCTTTATTTATCCTCACTTTGAATTGACAGATTGATTTTTCCACAAGAAAAGCCCTGCTCTAACAAACCCCCCTGTCCGTCATCCTCGCGCTGCACTGACCTTCCGAGCAATGGGCATCCTGTTGAAGATGTTCCACAACACAATTCCCACCACGACTTTATCCCTGAGGTAGAAAATGACACCTTTGCCGTAATCTTCTCCTTGCTTTGGGACTTGAGGCATCGGTGAAGAGCTTTGAGAGATCTGAACTTCTGAGGCTTCTGCTTCTGTTTCACTCTCAGATCGAATTCCAGTCCCTAAGGTAGAAATAGGAGGAGTCACACACCCGGTGCAGGACATGTGATGATGGGAGCAGACTCAGCAGCATGTTCTGCAGGAGCGTGAGGTGTTTCCCTTGGAGTTGTGTTCCCCAAAAGTTACGTTTCATTAACACAAGGATGAAACAATCCCAGCATGGAGCATAACATCAATAATCCCCAATGCAAAGGAGAGCACAGTCTGCTTCCTCCAGGCAGCAGATACAAGATAAACATGCTTGGATCCAGAGTCTCTGTGGTCCCAAACGGATCACTTTATTGCCAAGGAGGAGATCAAACTTCCCTAAGAAAGTCTGCATGGCAGTAGATGTGTTCCGTGATACCTTCTTGGAAGAATGTTTTAATCACATTTTAATATAAAAGCTAGCCTTTAAAGCTTGGTGGACAAACGAGACAGCAGATTGCTGTTTCCTCACGCTCTCAGAGGTCAGGGTGACTCCAGCATGTGCAGGAGCTCCCCAGTCCCTACCTGACTGTTCTGTTGCACTTTTTGGCGTGTCCTTCGCTGTCGCCTTGGCAAACACTCCCACTGTGGGCAAACTGCTGTCCACAAGGCCAATGGCTTCATACCCCACGTTGGGGCCCAGATCGCTCCTAGGAATGAAGTGGGAATGAAGTAATTTGTAGCAGTAGCAGAGACAAATCCAAGGCAGTTCCATCCATCCATCCATCCATCCGTGCTCCAACTATTACTCCAGCATGGCATGGGCAGTGCTGGACACTGACACACTGACTGAGACACGGAGTCTCCTCTGCACACACAGGTGGAACAAGGAGTCAAGACATGATAAGCCCAAGGCCATGAGCTTCAGAAAAACGAGTTCAGCGGCCAAAACTTTGAAATCCTTCAGGCCTGCTCCCTGGCAGGCAGCTGGAGGCTTCCCAGCTTCTGGCAGTGCTATTATCCACACCAGGCTTGGCAGCATGGACAATCATTCAGTGAATATTTTTGAGAACATTTAGAAAAGCCTAAAGAGAAGAAACCTTGCCCTAACACCTTCTTGAACTGGGCACCTGGGTCTGAACTGGGGTGGTGATAGTAGATAAAGCAACTGTGGTTTGGGACCAGTAAGTAGCCGGTGTCTGAAGTGTTTCCCAGGATGCTGAGGAAACAGGTGCAGGACAAACCATGAATCTATGTACAACACAACCTCCCCAACCAGAATCCTCCAGCACAGACTGGGGTGACTGCAAGGAGCACCAGTAACATGGCAGCTGTGATCAGCTGGAGCTCAGGAGGGATCATGGAATGATGTGGGTTGGAAGGGACCTTAAAACCCATGTCATTCCACTTTTCTGCCATGGGCAGGGACACCTTCCACTATCCCAGATTGCTCCAAGCCCTGTGCAGCCTGGCCTTGGACACTTCCAGGGATTCAGGGGCAGCCACAGCTTCTCTGGGCACCTCTCTGTGCCAGGGCCTCATTATGCTCAGAGGGAAGGGTTTCTTCCATATATTGAACCTAAATTTCCCCTCTGTCAGTTCAGAGCCTCTCCCCCCTTGTCCTGGGGGAGGGACTGGAGAGGGACTCCAGTCCTTCTCCAGCTCCCTTGTAGCCCCTTCAAACACTGGAAGATGCTGTGAGGTCTCCACACAACCTTCCCTCCAAGAGGATCAGGATCCTGAGCACGCTGACAAAATGCATGAGGAATTCCTGTCATTTCCCAGGTTTTCAGCATGGGGGAAGGAAGTGTCACTCTTTGAGGGCTGTCATAGTGTGACACCTGCCAACAACCACGGGGCTGCAACTGACAGCCCTCCTTCACCTGCATCTGGTCATGGCTGAGAGCATCCCAGGGGAAAGCACCCCTGGGAAATGCCTGTCTCTGTCTTTCGCTGCACTTGATGACCTCTGAAGTTTTTCCCAACCTCAAGGATTCTGTGGCTCTGTTTCTTGTTTAAAAGCCAAGTGAGAAATGCTCTGGGCCCTGAATCCAGGCAGAACAGACCAAGAGTTCAGGTAAGTGACAGCAAATGATAAATAACTATTTCTGTGGGGATTTCCCTGAAAAAACTAGAACTCTTTTACCCATATTTGAAATCCTGTCAATAAACAGGATTTGGGATTTTTAATTGGTCTGAACTAACAGCCTTTTGGATTTTAATTTTTTGTGGGGCTTTTTTTTGTTTCATTTTTCTGTTCTCATTCATTTTGTTTTAAAAAGAACTTCAGGAAAATACAGCCAAATTGCCCACTTTCCTGATACCTCTCTCTGGAAAACAACTTTTCAGGTACACCTGGATGCAGCAATGCTTTGCCACTAAAACATCTGTTCAGCAAAGTGCAACACTCAGACCCACAGACTGGGTTGGGGAACTTCAGATAATTGTAACAGGAAAAGCTGCTGCTAAATTCAACCAGTCTGCTCTGAGGAGAGGGCTGTTCTGTATTGCTCCTTGCTCTGCGAAATGGGACCGGTTCAGGGAGAAACTGGGATCTGCAGGAAGGGAAAGCACTTGAGGGAGGTGAGGGCAGAGCAGCAAATGCTCAAACGCCTCCCCCGCCCCGAGCTTTAGGAACATGAAGCTGTACAAGGTGTTTGCTGAGGTGGTTTCACTCCCCTTGGGAAACAGACACTTCTCAAGGTGTATCTTGTCCAAGCTCCTGCAACGTGGCCACCCCAGGAACCCCCAAATAGGAAAGGACTGTTACCAGAACATGGACTGGTGCCAGTAGGGCTTTGCAGCTCCTGTCATGTTTTCTCCAGCCAGTCTCCCGCTCACCACAGCATGATCATGGTGCTCCACACGCCTGCGGCCCAGTTTGATGTCATAAAAGCAGGCAGCATCCCCTGCCTTGGAGAGAACCACCCCGTGAGCACCGCGACAGGGAAAGCTTCCACCAGTGCCCGAACAAAAAACATCGGGAAGAGAACAAATGGAACAAGGAACCGAGTTCTTCTGACAAACCCCAAACACCACCACTACCTCATCCCACTCCCTGGACTACACAAATCCCAGTTTCTCAGCATTTTCCCCCGAACTTTGGAAAAATAATACAGCATGAGGTACGTTTTCCAGAGGAATCAAAGTATCAACGCCCACCAAGGAACTCTTATGCAAGCAAGTGATCCAGGCTATCTTTAGGTTACCCCAACTCCTCTTACACAGCATAAATATTCCAAAGTTGCCGTGGTTACCACGGCAACGAGGTGGCTGCAGCGCCTGACCAGGCTCCGGGCCTGCGCTACAACTGCTCTCCTTACTCGCTCCTCTTCACCCCCTTCACCTCTGTCACGCTGTGTCCCACTACAGCAGCAGCAGCACCGGGAAGCTGTGCCCACACTCACCACCCAGATGTTGTGGGAGGCTGTGCCCACACTCACCA